CTCAGACCAGTTGGACAATTCTCCTTCTCTGGATACAGCAGCTTGCCTTACAGAACACAGAACAGGCCTTGCCTGTTATACACTTTGTAAGAACAGCCTCCTTTTGGCAAAAAGTGTTTTCATTACTCCAGATGATGTGGCTTCTTGTAACGGGAAGATTTAAAAATCAGGATTAATTCTTCTGTCTTGCACTTACTAGGATATATTCCATTGTCTTCCCTGTAGTTGTTTTCTGCTACACTCTCCTGTTTTCCTCTAATCTCATAGTGTTTTTTGTTTGCTTGTTTGTTTGTTTGTTTCCAGAGAATTAGTTGGCAAACCCTCTTTGCTCTATGACTCCTTGGTCTTTGATGCAGAGATAAAGTCCTGGACATTTTTTTTCTTCTCTTTATGGCTACTTCTGAGGGGTTTTATCTAATTATCTAATGTCAAGGCTTTAAGGCCGTCCATTTTTTGATGACTTTGTTTCCCCAGACCCCTAAATGCTCTCCTTATCCACATGCTCATGTCTAACTTTCTACTCTCCTGTGTCAATCCAGTGTCAAGAACTTGTGACATGAAGTACAGCTGTCATTTGCTGAGATCACTACAGGCTGTGGCTCTCCCTGTGACTGGGCTTACATCCCCTGGCTCCTACCTTGGATTACTGTCAGTGAGTATCTGGTTACCTTTTAGAAGTATGCTCCAGATAATGTTGTCGTGCTTAAAACAAAATGTGAAATCTCCCAGCAAAGCGGGCGAGGCACTACACGATTAGAAACCTCTGTAAGGTTCTTCCCCATACTTCTCTCCTATTGCGTTCTAGTCCCCAGCTTCATAGTTTCTCTGAGCCTGCAGGCCTCTCTCTAAACAGTGCTGTGTGCTGCCCTCTGACCTTGTCAGTCTCTTTGTCTTTATATCACTTGCCACTAGGTGAAATCACCCCTGCTAGCTTCCTACACGGGACAGAGCTCTGTGATATCCCCCTTTGCAGTGCTCAAGTCTAATGTGCCTCAGATCTCAAACCCCGGCCTTGCATACTGCAAGAGCCAGTTAAACTAATAAGCCACTTCCTGAATAGCATCTCTAATAACTTGTTTTGACTCCATACCACCACCCTACCGTCTTTTCTATTAGAAAGCAAATCCTCACCTTTTTTCCTTTCATTTCTGTAATTTCACTTTGTCATTCGCTCATACTGCTAGGCTCATGTTTTATTTCTAGCATGAGGAGAAATGACTTCATCTATTATTGCCTGCTCTGACTCTTTTAAAAACATAACTGAATTTATGCTAAAAGCTCTATTTCTGTATAAGTGATTTTCCTGCATGTGTGTATGTCTCCATATGCATGCATTGCCTAAAGAGTACAAAAGAGGGAGCAAATTCCCCGGCACAGGAGGTACAGAGAGTATTGAACCATGATGGGAGTGGTCAGAATAGAACTCAGGTCCTCTGCAAGAGGGCGCTGAGCCATTTATCTAGCCCCATATCCTGATCTTTTAGAAAGATTATTAAGCAATCTGTCTGTTTAAAATATTACTCGTGAAATAAACTTATAAACTATTTCTCAGAAAGTCTCTGAAGTTTTTAAACCTTAAATTTAAGTATACTTTGATGTGCACATTCTAAGCATTTCTGCCAAACTGTGTTCTCTCATGCTGATAAAATTCCTCTCGGCTAGCCATGGATAGTGATGGTTTATTACAGGGTCTAACCTATATTAAGCCAACATACTTGGCTATGTCATTGTGCTGTCTCAAGAAATATGCTTTAAAATGCTGTTTACAACTTGTTTCTAAATATGCCTAAGAGTCAGAAGGTATATGTGTACATTGTGAGGAAAAGAAAGCTAAAATTCTATCTCTGAAGGACATTATGGGCTTTGGCTTTCTAAGATATTATAACGGGGCTTTTGTACTTTTTTCTCTTGGCACTGCAGTTGGCCAAAAGCATAGAGCCCTGTGAGAATTCTCACCTACTGGGTTCAAGGCCTGCACACCCATTCACACATTCTAAAACTCACTCCAAAGCCATCTGTGCTTTACAACACAAGCGGAGCCCAGGCTCTGCCCTGAGGGCTCACCATCTAACCATGAGACACAGTCACTTAGTTTTCTAAACGAAATAATTCTTTCTCATTCAAGAGATGTAATCGTGTGTCTGGTATTTATTTGGCACGTCTTCCCTTTCTTATTATTCACTTCAGTTTTAGTTTTGTGTCGAGTCAAATGAGTAAAGCTATGTAGACAAAGACAGCAGGATGTGCTAACTGACATCAAACAGCCAAGTGCGAAGTTTATGGGGAAAGGTATAGTTTGATGTTCTCACCATTCGCTTCTGGATTTCTCAGGTTGCTGTAACTCTGTTTTTAATTGACACTTTTCTTTCATCTACACGGAATCAGAATAATTCATATCACTAGTGTTCAAAAATTTGTATATTTGAAAACAAACTAGTCTCTGTCCTGTGTTTTACACTGTGCTTTGAAAATTATGTAAATATAATATTTGACAGTGAAAATCAAGCAAATCCTACCTACTTGGTTATATGTGTGAAAGTCTATCACTCGGTTCTGTGGCATTCCTAGGAAAAAAGTCATCCAGAGGAAGCAACCTAACACACTGGTTCTTTCCGGAATCCACCCACAGGGTGGACAGACATTTGCAAAGAGAAAATACATGAGAGTTTTCATATAAAATACATTTCAGGTCATTTTAACCTAGCATCAGTTTATAAATGGATAAAGCATAAGGAGAAAGGGGGGAAAGATTCCTCAAAAGGGGACCCCACAAAGGAGAGCGGTAAGCCTTCAAGCATCAGGACTCTTTTTCATGAGCTCATACCCCCTGCACCTCTCCTGTTCTTTCAGACTGAAGCTCTACTCTGTTCTCCATCTCCCAATGCCTGACCCCTCCCCTCTGCTGCTTCCTTCCCTCCATGTCTAAAATGGGCAGAAGCCCACCCTGGGACACCCAGGTTAGGTCCATATCCACCAATCCCAGAATTCCTCTGGAAGAGAGATTTTCCATTCCAACCCTCTCTGCACAGTCAAACAGTCTGCTCCATGCTCCTAGGCTCGAGTGAAATCTACTATGAGGGTACCTTCAACAAGCTTATCTAGAAATGTCCACGAGCCATATTTCCTTCTGCATTCCATTGCTTTGAAACGGCTAGTCATTTTGGGTCCTTAGTCACAACTTGCTCTTTCTAGCTAAGAGGTAAGGTACAATGTCAATGGCAAAAGGAAACAAAAGCCACAGTGTTGTAAGCTATGAGCTAATAGTTAACTTTCACCCCTGTAACTTCCAGACAGCAGTATGGAGAATGTCAAGGATAAAGGTGTGGAAAAGCAAATCCTGCCCCGGCTGGATATCTAACTCGGGCTAAACATGCAAACGTGAGGGCTGCCAGTAGTGGAGAACACATTTCAGTATTTTTAAAAACAGTGAAACGAGCAATTCCCTAAAGATAGAGCATTTCCCCCTATATTCGCCCAGGAATCCGTTTTGGAAGCTGGTCCAATGATTACTACTGGGACACAGAATTTTGACATCCATTTGGTACTGATTTACACCAGGATTTTTAAGGCTGCCAACAAGAGAGTCCAGAATTTCAGGCAGCCAAAAATTCCACAAGAGACAACTGTCTTTTATTTTATAGCTTATGAATTTGGGGCTTAATATGATTTTCCACTAACAAGTTCTGTACCCCCTCCCGAGGGCCAAGGCCGGTGTAGAGATCAGCAAAGTAACACGGAACAGATGAGGCGGCTTAATATTCAACTTGAAGGAAGACAGTTGAAATGATACTGTTTACTTAGGAAAAAGCACTCTGGTTTAAAGGGCTGACACGTGATTTACTGTGAGCGCTCCGTCGGTGCGCGCACATCTTACTCTGCTCTCGGCTTGTGGCCGGTACTTGGTGGTGCTGCAGTCCTGGGAGTGGTATTAATAAAGTTATCAATTAAGGATCTGCTAAATCTTGGTAAGGAGCTCTAAATATGTCTTGTCTTCTGTTTCTTATGAAATAGCAAGAAAAAAAAAAAAACCCACAGAATCATGTTCAGCAGTAAATCAAAGGCAAATAACTTAGGAAAGAGTCACATGTATAACTGCCCTTTAAAAAGCCTAAGTAAATGAAGAATCCATTTAAAAACCAGGCATCATGGCTAACACAAATAATTCTGCTACAAAAGTAAAGCGCTCACACGCAATTAGAAAAAGAAAACACTATGGAGTGTCTCCCTCCGATCAATGCACTCTGTTGGAAAGTGTCATGAGACAGCCCATATTGGCACAGTGAAATAATTACACATTTTATTTTGTTTTTACAAAAGTCATTAAAAAAGAATTTCTTCTTCAGATGTCCCTAAGATAGGGGAGACATAAATCAGTGCTGTGATATTTAAATGGCCTACACGTAGATGACCTTTCCTAGTTTCAGCTTCTCCCAAATCCTTCATGGCCATCACACGTACCACTCACTAACTCGGGTGTAGACACATACTCTCAGTTCGAGTCAACAAGAGGATATAGTCATATATTTTATCAATACTTTGATAGGGAGGCATCCCCGACCTGCTAAACCAGATGTCAAACTGCACCTGCAAAGCAAGGAGAAATCACTGCACATGATTCCACTGGCGCGATACCTGGGGAGAGAGAGCAAAAGAGCTAGTTCCAGAGCAGAGGCCCACCTGCTCTACTGAGAAAGCTTCCCAGAAGCGTTAGAGTTCACACTGCAGTCGCTAGAAGGTGGTCCCAAATCATGGTCGTGGGCCCCATGCCCGCCTCCTGCCCCCTGGTAGGATGACTTGTTGATCATCATGTTCCTGAGGGGGAATGTGTCTCAGATGCCATCTTGCTTCATCAGAAAGGGGTGTCACACTTCATGGAAGCACCAGGAACATGACTGTGTTTCTGAAACAGCAACTGTGGAAGGCAGAATTCTTTACACACTACTGTGAGGCTTTTCCAACCAATGACAGAGTACAGGAGTGTGAGTAAATGGAAGAAAGACTTCTTACACCCACCCTTAGCTTTAATAGTAGAAGCTTTCACATATATAAAAAAACTTAATTTAAAAATATACTGCTAAATTACTCTATGAAATATATAATTAGCTAGCAACACAATTTTGTCTACACAAATGTGAAAACTGGACATCGAATGGATAAATTATTTCATACACAAAGTTACTGTATGTAGAAGAAAATAAAATGAAATAATTTCTATAAGTTAATCTTTGAAGTTTCTTATCTGGACAGAGCACCAGAGGGACATCATTTCGAGAGAAGGCAGAGATGACAGGTTTCTGGTGGCAGACAGCTGCCTGACCATTTTCCTGTCTGTCTCGGCCCTACATCAAGTACACACGTTCTGCTTCACTCAATAGACAACGCTTATTTGGCCTATCAGCACAGAGGCATGAAAAATTCCAGTCATAATTTCTGATGATTATTAACATCACAAATTCTAAACATTTCTAAAAAGCCAGGATTAACAGAACATACTAGTTAATGTTCACACAAGTGAGTCCTGAGAGTAGCCTAAAAAGTCTAAAAGAGGAAATAACTTTTCATTAAGGCTGCAAGAATTTTGAGAACCTGAAATGGCCAGCTTTAAAAAACAAAACAAAACAAACAGACAAACAAAAATCACAAAAAAAAAAAAAAAAAAAAAAACAACGGTGGCTGCATGACGTCTCCCCCTGTTGGGTTGGAAGCAAGCCATCCGCCCGTCAGGACTTGATTGTGTCTTCTCAAAGGTCTGAGCTGAGCAGTGGGGAGCAGGGATTCAGCACCAGAATCATTCTATACTTGAACTTCATCTTCGGTTTTCAGTTCGTGGCGCATGCCACGCTTGTGCGTTCCCACAGATTCTCCTTCCAGCAACACTGGTGACCTGGCGGGAGTCTGCGTGGTCAGTAGGGAAAGAGACGGCGAGAAGCTGGGAGTCATGGTTTCCGGTAGAGAGCCGCCGCGGTAGGGAAGGGGAGACCGGGGGAATTTCTGAAGAGCTTGTGGCAGGAGGAGGGCTGGCATTCGTGGGGGAACCGCCTTGATCCCGGGCTGCGCTACTGCTGTTATCAGAGGGGGTGGGAAAGCAAAAGATGTGTCTTCTGTACTGCCAGGCAGGTGCAGGTGTTCGTGCCTCAGCCTGGCAATATCGTTAAACACCGAGGCAAGATGCTGGAACTTGGGTTCCCAACTGAGGAAGCAATCCCAGGCATAGCTTCCTCTGGCATCGTCATCAGAGGCTTTCTCGGTGGGTAGGGCTGCAGCCCTTCCCTCCTGGTGGCCTGAATGCCCGCCATCAACCAAGATACCTGCTTTGGCCCCCCTTCTGTGGGGTAATGCGTCACTTTGAACAGAGACTCTGTCACAGCCGTCGCCTCTGTCTCCTCCATCAAACACGTGACAGGCTTCTATTAGCTCAGTACTAGTCCTCACATCGGTGTCTCCCGACAGGCAGGAAAGCTGATCAGAGTCCCTGGGGATGCCCGAGTCTGGCACCCTGGAGCCCCGTTCACTCAGGGCAGAGTCTGAGTCCTTCCTGTAAGGGTGCTCATTTATCCTCTGGATTTCTTTGTCTTCTGCAGTCTCTGCATCCACCGAGCAGTGGCCGCTGGAGTTGGAGCGCCTGTACAGGTGGATAATGTCCTTCTCCATGACACTCATCAAGTTCAACCATTCAGCCGGCATAGCTCCGTCAGGCCCTGGCAGGTCCCTGTACTCCGCGGTCTCCTGCCCAGCCTTGAGCTCGCTCACAGCCCTGATCAGCCCGGGGTCAGCATCGGGGGACGATGGTGTCTTCTCTTCGTAACCGTGTGGTGGCTCTTTTGGCTTATGCCTTAAAATCAGAACAGTTAGCGTGAAGACGAGTAAGAGGAACACTAAAAAGGAGAGCACAAGGCTGACGGCGAAGCTGTGAGCGAACGCCGGCCTGTGACGTCCTTCAGACGGCAAAGACACGTTCACAAACACACTGCAGGATGCCGACCTGGAGCCGGGCCTGGGGCTGTGGGCGATTACTGTCACTTCAAGGGTGTCTTCTTTGCCGAGCTGACTGCTTATTAGGGAAGGGGCTTGGACCCAGTAAATATTGCCGTTGGTTCTGTTTATGGACAGCAGAGGGGACGGAGTTCCAAGGGAGTAAACAACGACGCCGTCCACGCCCGCATCCGCATCCGAGGCTTCCACCGTGCCGATCAGCTGCCGGCCTCGCCCCTTCTCGGGGAGCCTGAAAAAATACTGATCTTGAGTAAAGACGGGTTCGAACTCATCCACCCCTTCAACCTCCACCCACACCTCCAGGGACGCTGCGGCGCCCCCTCTGTCTGCGGCCTGAACCCTGAGGCAGTGCCGGCTAACGCTCTCATAGTCGAGCGTTTGCTGCGCGCGGATGTCCCCCGTTAGCGGGTCGATGGCAAAGAGATCCTGGCGGGGCTGCATCCCGCGGGGAACAGGGCAGGGTGACAAGATGGAGTACGTCACTTCTCCGTAAGGCCCCGCGTCCAAATCCAGCGCGTGCACGGCGCACAGCACGGAGAAGGCAGGCAGGTCTTCCGGAGCGACGCAGGCCACGGCGGAGGCCCTGAACTGAGGTCCGTGGTCGTTGTCGTCTAACACACTGACGCGCACCGCAGCAAAAGACACGTGCGTCTCCGCCCCGTCCGCGGCTTGCACGGTGAGGGCGAACGCGGCCGTTTCCTCGTAATCCAGAGCCCTCGCCAGAGACAGAACCCCAGTTCCTTCCTCGAGGTGAAAGTGCTCCTTCTCGTTCCCAGCGACTATGCGGTAGGTGACCCGGGCGTGCGCGCCCGCGTCGCGGTCCCCCGCCGACACCACGGCGACGGGGCTCCCCACGGGGGCGCTTTCCCTGACGTGGGCTCGGTACCGCCGCCTGCCGAAGGCGGGGGGGTTGTCGTTGACGTCGAGGACCTCGACGGCCACGACGCTCGTGGCGCTCCGCGGAGGGCAGCCGCGGTCGGACGCTAGCAGGACCAGCCTGTGGCTGGCGCTGGCCTCCCGGTCCAGGGCGCGGCGCAGCACGAGCGCGCCGCCCTGCTGGCGGGGCTGCTCCGAGCCCGCGGGGCGGGCTTCGAGGCCGAAGTAGCCGTGCGGGTCGCCGCCGATGATCGCGTACTCGGCGCGCGCGTTTTCAGAACCGCGGTCCGCATCCGCTGTTGAAAACGCCAGGAGCGTGCTTCCGGCGGGGGCATCCTCGCGCACGCCCAGACTGTAGCGCCCCGCTGTGAACTCAGGCGCGTGGTCGTTCACGTCTTGCACTTCTATCTCCACTAACGTGAGAGCCCTCAGCGGCGGAAGTCCTCCGTCCCTGGCTTCAACCAGAAACCGAAGCGGTGCCGTCTCATCCGGAAGTGATACAGGATCGGTAGTGAAAATGGTGCCTGGAGAATGAGGCAGCGTGTCAGTGCTGGGAGCTAAACGCTCGTGATCTGCTTAGCTAGCACACGCTTAACGAACATGCAGATGTGCCGTTCGTTCTTTGTTGGATGCTTTAAGTTACAGCCGACATAGTCCAAATAGATTCCAAAATTGTTATACTTACACAAATGCTTCCGGAGTAATTTTCACAGTTTCCATTTATATGTGCTGCTTCCTTTCCTGCCTTTACTACAACTTTCCTAGATTTTGTTTTTGAATAGTAAGTTCTTTCATTATTTTTAAAAGAAAGTGCATTCTTGTCGCATATATTTTCATTTTGTCTCATTATCTATGAACACATTACAGAGATAGTCTAGCATAAGATAACTATTCTGAGCGGGGCAAGGAAGTGCAAGCCTTTAATCCTAGCATTTGGGACGTTAAGGCAGGAGGACTGAGAGTTAGAGACCAGACTAGAATATTCGATGAGACTTTCTTGAAAATAAGAATTAAATGGCTTGGGTATTCAAGCATTCAAGTAGTAGAGTGTCTGCCTGGCTCTTTCTTTCCCTCTTCCCCCTCTCTTTCTCACTCTCACACACGTTCTCTCTCTTACACACACATGCTCTCTCTCACACACATTCTCTCTCTCTTACACACGTGCTCTTTCTTACATACACATGTTCTCTCTCCTTCCCACACACCCATGTGTTCTCTCTTTCTCATTCTCTCTCACACACGCACATACACATACATGCTCTCTCTCACTCACATACACACATATTCTCTCTTCCTGATACACATGTTCTCTCTCCCTACCACACAAGCATGTGCTCTCTCTCTCTCTCTCTCTCTCTCTCTCACACACACACACACACACACACACACACACACGAAGGGAGCATAACTCTGAAAACAACTCTAGTCAAATAAAAGTAGTGAAAATGATAATGTGGAGAGCGTAATTATAGAGATATCTTTTCTCAATCCCCTGAGTGAATTCAGCAAGTGGCATTTTCCCTAAGGCTAAAAGACTTCAGCTAGCTTTTATTATGGAGAACATGGAAATGTAGGACATTTACAAGTTATACACAATGGCATTTTTATCAAAGTGTTTGAAGTGCGCTCACTACAAGTAGATGCTGAACGGTGAGGTCTGAATGCCACGGTTCAGCCATAGCACCATGAGCTAGACCGAAGGCAGCAATTACTAACGTAAAACACTCTAATCAGCACTCTGAGGCAGTGTGTGTGTCCCGCCTCCCAGTCGGAAGTGCTGCTAAGCTAAGTGCCCAGGGGCCTGTGGTCCACACAGTGTTACTGGCTGGTGCAGGCCAGACATTGTCAGTGTCTAAAATCCTGTGAGATGCAAAGAAAAAACAGAGTCAAAGCAAAGGGCATCGGAGCCTCTCCCAAGCGTATACTTACGCTGTAGGCACAAGTCTGCAAACTGTCGCTGCTTCTTATTTCTCTCATTACAAGCGCCCAGTGAGCCTGATTACTTCTGATCTGATGTCTACTCTCCGCTAATCCTACAATTGATCTTAAACTCACCCTCACTTGAAAATGCCGCTGCGGCGGTTGGAGATGGCACCACAGTGTGATGGCAGGCTCCTTTCTAGAGTGTGCCTCCCCAGAGCACTGTGCTCCTGGTTATCCAGCTTCAGGGCATCCAGCATTCGGTGTTTGTTTACTGTTAGTGTCCCTCACACTCTGCAGAAGGGTATGAGTGAGCAATTGCTCACCGAGGTACATTCAACACCACACATGTCCTCTCTGATAAAAACACAAAGAGCCCAGAAGAGCCCACATAAAGCAGAATTCCACGATGGCTTATGGCACTGAATCCTTCCATGGACTCATTGCTCTTGTCCTTACTGAATGTATGACACTATTACTATTTTTTGCACTAAGCTGAGTAAAGCAGCTCCCACAGTCCAGCTGCATGAAACCCTCAGTAATGAGCTGATTTTTTTCTGGTTGAGCCACAGAACAGCTTCCCAAACCCTGTTGGCTGGACATATGAACTTGAGAATCTCCATATTGTGGGGAGGGTGGCTCTGGATTTCCTAACGTTGAGAGGCATTTGGTCAATGCTCTTTGCTTTCTGGCCACTGAGAAGCTGAAGAAGTACCAAGCCCATTTGCTACTATAGATAAGGAAGCACTACTCAAAACTGCAGGAGGGTGGAGGTCTGCGTTAGGAGCATTCAAAACTGATGACTCCACGTTTCTGGACTGTAACCAGGATGTGGGGCAGCCACTGTAAATAACTCACCATTCCGAGGGTCGATGGCAAAGCCCTCGCAGGAGGAGAGGATCCTGTAGGAAATGTCCTCGCTGCTTTCCAGGTCTGTGGCAGACAGCATCAGCACTGAGCGACCCCCAGGTGTGAGTTCAGGAAGCTTAGCCTGACGACAAACGAGAACAAAGGTGCTGTGCTTGCAAATGAGTGATTTTCAGGAGCAGGGGAGAAACCTGACATCACGTCATTCATTTTGACACATGAAACCACCCAATCTGCCCCTCGTAGGCCTCGTATTGGTTTGAAGGAAAATGGTTCCCTTAGGGCCCTTTACACTATTTGGAGGTGTGGCCTTGTTGGAGGAAGTATGTCATTGGGGGTGGGCTTTGATGTTTCAGAAGCTCAAGCCTAGACCAGTGTCACTCTTTTCTTCTGCTCCCTGATCTGAATGTAGAACTCTAAGCTTCTTCTCCAGCACCATCTTTGCCTGTGCTCTGAACATGTAAGCCAGTCCTAACTATATTTTTTCCTTATAATAATTGCTGTGGGCATGGTGTCTCTTCACAACAATAAAATCCTTACAATACAGAAGTTGGCACCAGGGACTGGGTATTGCTGTGATAGGACTGACTGTACTTTTGTTTGGAGGAATGTGGACTTTGGGACTTTGGACTAGAAAAGCAGGTGAATGTTTTAAGTAGAGCTTAATGAAACATGCTAGTGGAAGCATGGATGCTAAGGGTAATGTGAACTGTGGGGGCCTGGCTCAAGAGATTTCAGAGAAGAATACTAGTATGTGGCCTAGAGACAATTCGAGTAATATTTTGTTGAAGAATGTGGCTGCCTTCTGCCCTTGTGCCTCTGCCTAGGACTAAATTGAAGAGCTATGGATTAACAGCTTTGGCAGGGGATATTTCAAAGTAGCTTAGTATTGACAGTGTTGTATAGTTTTTAATGGCCAGTCTTATACAGATATTTAATGAAAAGGAGCAAGCTGAGCACAGAAAATTAGAAAAAGTACAGTTTGAGGGGGCAGCAGGAAAGGTGCAGATTAGGGGAGAGACTGATGCTAACTGGAATAAAAGGAGTGATGACCTCAGAACAGGATCTCACCCAGCTAAGGTTCTAACTTGTGAAAGAAATTAAAGAAAAATTAAAAGTAATTTTTAAAAAGTGTAGGGATGGACAAGGTGGCTCACAACTTCAATCCAAGCACTTTGGATGCAGAACCAGGTGGATCTCTGAAGTTTGAGGCTGCTCTGGTCTACAGATCGTTACAGGACAGCAAACTTAGATGGCGGCGAAGGAAACTACTGAAAACAGAAAGCTGGTGAGGTGTATATGAACAAGGGAGTCATGTTTGAGGCCCAGCAAGCAGCACAACTTGGCAACTTCAGCCACATGGTTTTGGCTTTAGAGTCAAGGATACATGAAAAGAGTTATGGAATCTTCGTCCACAGCTAAGGAAATCCACTAAGACCAAGCATGTGTCAGGGGTATCTCTGCATGGAGGTCCAAAGAGGCATGAAGCTGTGAAGGTGAAGCCCAGATTGCCCTGGAGACCCCAAGATGTTGGCGATGTCGGAGTCATAGGAAACCTGCGAAGGAGAGCTGCTGACAGGGAGTGGAACCAGACCGAGAGAAAGAGGTTGGAGACAACAAAGCTGAAAGGAGCTGGAGAGCTGAAGAGTGATTTGACATCAAACATGGAGATGAAGAGTTTGGAGTTTGCGCAGTTGGTTTTTGGTCTTGTCTTGGTCCAGTATTTCCTTACTATGCTCCATTTCCTCTCTTTTGGAACAGTAACATATATTTCCTGTGACATTATATGTTGCAACTGTGTGATCTGCTTTTTGATTTTATAGAGGGTTATAGTTAAGAGATTGTCATGAGTCTCAGAAGAAACTTTGGACTTTTAAGCAGGGTTGAGACTGATAGATTATGGGGACTTTTGAGGTTTGACTGAATGCTTTTTGCATTATAACTACAAGCCTATGAGGAGCAGGGAGTGAAATGTGCTGGTTTGAATGAAAATGGCCCCCATAGGCTCACAGATAGTGTCACTGTTGGGAGGTGTGGCCTTGTTGGAGTGGCCCTATTGAAGGTACTGTGTCACTGCGTTGGGGGTTTCAGAAACTCAAGCCTGGCCCAGTGTTCCTCTTTCCTTCTGCTTCCTGCTGATCCAGAAGTGGGATTCAGCCCTGTCTCTCATCGTGTCTGCCTGCATGCCACCATGCTTCCCATCATGACAATAACGGACTAAACCTCTGAACTGTAAGCCAGCCCCACATAACTATTTTCCTTTGTAAAGCTTGCTGTGGTCATGGTGTCTCTTCACAGCAATTAAATTCTAAGGAACGCTGACCTGCTGATACAGAGAGTTGATACAGTGAATATACTAACAGTCCCTGGATTCAGAAAACTATTTTAATTTCACTTAATTCTGATTTTACTACAAAACATTTTCTTTCTAGATTAGTTCTGAATGACAGAAACTAATGCAGTCACTAATTTTATGTCAAATGCATTAATTACTTCACTCAAGTGAGGCTTTATGGAGAATTGTTACTCAAGTTGAGTTCTCATGTTTATGACCTTACATTTCCTTCATTTACGAGTTCTGGGATCCATTTCTAAGGCCTCAGGAGAGCATGGTCACCGTCCTGATCCCTGGAAACATATACTCTTCCCCCAAATCTAAAGTCTGCACTTTCTAGATATGCTCTCTGTTTGTGTGAAATGCTCATCACGTGTTCCAAAAAAGAATCTGTCCAAAGCCTCCTCAGATAATACAAACTAGCTCACCTACAGCCTTGCAAACACTTGGCAAGTTCCTGTCATGAACAATAGGACTCCAACTCCACACACACTCAGGGGAAAAATACAAAAGTCTGATGGTTTACACACTCAGTAAAGGGAAATAAATGAGCCACATAACTCCAAATGATTTCTGGTCTATAGTATGATAGACAATCCTGAAGCATCAACTCAGGATGAAAACTGATAACTTAGACCAGCCTATCAGTATTGGAAGGCTGACATTACTCACCACTATTATTTATTTATTTTCAGTCTAGAGGTGTTTTGCCTGCCTATCTGTCTGTCTGAGCCCTGTGTCATAGGATAGCATATCCCCTGGATCTGGAGTTACAGATGGCTGTGAGTGCCCGTGTGGGTTCTCGGAATCAAACGTGTGGAGGAGCAGCCAGGGATCTAGGCGGCCCTACCCTGAACTTTCTAGTTTTTCACCTCTGTACCTGATAGAAATCTTGAGGAAACACCGGTGGGTTATCATTGACATCCAGCACGTGGATAAGGAGGGAGCCCTCTGTGTGGTACACTGAATCGGAAACTCGGACGATCAGCTCATATTCAGTAACTTCTTCAAAATCCAGCGTTTGCACCAGCACCACCACTCCAGTGTTCCGGCTGATAGCGAACTTGGCTCCGGAACTGCTTTCTTTGACAAAACTGAAGGTGAAAGCTGGATTCAGATCCGCATCATGAACGGATACCCGAGATACAATTACACCAGGCAAAGAATCTGCAATCATCAGGACCAATGTCAGCTTCCATTAAAAGTCATCATCAAAAGACATTTTTCTTTCAGTTGTTCAGCCCAAGTATTTTCATTTCAAATCTAAAATGATTTTCTCTTTTTTTTTTCTGGCATGATTTCTCATATAAAGCTCATTATGAGTTAAATCAAAACACAGAAGAATTTATAAGCACAATAAAAGTGAAAATCTACCACAGAGTAGCAATTGAGGAAGTAGGCTCTCCTCCAGCTTCATACTGCAGTTTTCCACCATATGCTTACAACACTACTCCAGGATCAGAAGGCATCCTGAGCACGTCCCTGTGGTACAGTGTCTCTATCGGAGCAGAGGCTCACAAGGGTATCCAGCAGAGGAAGGACGCTACAAACAATTACCGTTGAGAACAGGCCAGAACTGAATGAAAGTATTTGTGCAGATATAAGACTTAGTACTCATTTCGTGTTTAGTGTCATAAAATTACTTCTTTGATGGCGACACAGACATTGCTTTTTTCTTTTGTTTTTCAAAATGAAACATAATCATGGATGTAGGAAAACAAAGTACATACAGTGCTGTACTGCGGTACCCATGCTGAAGGTTGGGTTATACAAGAAGAAGGCGGTGACTCAGCATGTCATCAAATGAGCTTCACCATCATTAGTGTCCTGCAAGGATCAGCGAAGCTCAGGTCGAACAACAGCAGTGCCCAGAAGGGACAAACGGCTAGCACAGTCACAGCACGTGCTCCTGCCTGGAGTACTTTCCGTGTTTAAGAAAGACCTACATGTGAACACACTATCAGGAGTGACAGTCTGAGGCATGGGCTGCAGCCCGCAGGCCATCTGGCTGCAAATCTAAATGCTAGGATTTAAATCCCTTGACATTTGATTTCCCTAAGACTGTCCACTACTTAGTCAATAAAATAAAGACAAACTTATCTGGTTTGTGTGGCTGTTGAGAACTAATGCCTAATAAAACACCTGGCTGCAAAAAAAAAAAAAAAAAAAAAAAAAGACAAACGTGTACGTTAATCAAAAGTTGATTTCAAATTGCCACACTTACTTTCCGCAATTTCTACTGCTTCAGAAGGGAGGAAGACTGGGGCATTATCATTTATATCTATCACCTGTATATTGACCACAGTTGTGCTGGAACGCCTGGGCACCCCGCTGTCTGTTGCTTGCACAATCAAGCTGTTTTGGAAAAGAATCAAGGATGTTATGAGCCATCTAGGATTTATTTTCTTAAAGCATAAATCTAAAAATCTAGTATAATTTTTATGTGAATTCACTGGCTCTTATTTCTTCTAGATGTATCATCCACAATTTATTTTACAAGAATGGTAGCTTGAAATGTACGTATTTTTGACAAGTTTCAAGAACAAACTCCAGCAGGCTGCCAGGGGTCGTGAGGCATTAAATGTAAAAGTAAATGCACAATTTCTTGGGGACAGCCTTTAAAATTCTATTCAGGATAACCTAAACAATGCATGCGCCAACACTTGTGTCCACCCCACAGAGCGGTGATGGCTAGTACTCCCATCTAGTTATACCACCAGAAGACGCTGTCAAAATGATGGCTGTATACTCATAGTTTTCAGAGCCAAATGTCAAACCAATCAATACTGTAGACTTTCGAGAGTTTGCTGCCATAGGGAAGGAGCAACTGGGTTGTGAAAGGCTTCCACTCTTCAGAGGAGAAAGGGTAAGTTCTGAAGGAATTTACACAATGCGATTTACTCTCCCCAAGGCAGAGCTACCACACACCTCCTTTCTCTCACCACTTTTCTAGCATCATCTAATTGCAAGCCTTGTCAGTGTCTCCTGGATTAGTGTTTTACCTATTTTGTCCCTATCTTGAGAGCCTTCGGTGGAGTGATCAAACCCCTTGTTTGATTCTAGGACCTAAAGGTATGATAGAACAGGGGAAGTTCAATGTTTTCACAGCCAACGAAGTGTAGACCAATTGAGAGTTGAAATTTTTAGTACTAAATACAGAAAAGCCTGGAATTTCCTATACTAAACTACATGAACGTGCATGCCCAGGCTAGCTAGTCTCTGTACCCATTATCCCAGCAGGGCTGTTTAAGTGCTGTATACTTAGCACTTGAGAAATGGCGCAGTGGTTAAGAATGGATACACCTGGACGAAGTTCCAGTTTCAGTTCAGCAGCCACATGTAGCTCTCAACTGCCTCTGCTGTCATGTGGCCTCTGCCTTCTGCCTGACCCACATGCACAGGTAAAATAAATCAGTGGTTTGAGAACCTGAATCCCTACTTAAACATCTACAGGCAAGCATCTGGCCCCCTAAGTGCTGACCCCTGCCTGAGGGGCCTGTCCTTGCGCACTGGTGCCTTCTCCAAGCTCACATCTCCAGTGAGACTTCCCTGATCCTCATGTGATCTGAAAGCCCTTCCTGACCGTAGCACACTGTACAATTTCCTGCCACAGTAGTTATCTTCTTGATGGCTCTTCTGTCTGCCTCTTCCATGTGTTCCTGTTGGAGGCTGGTTTCATGCTATGCATTCTGATGCTAATTATTGGCCTCCGAGATCTGGTTGCTGTCCAAATGAGCAGGCATTGATGTACCACAAAATGCTGTTTGTAACCTTGCCTAAAAGCTTACTCCTGTTTGACCAATAAAAAGCCGACACACTGGGCAGGGCAAATGAGGTAGGTGTGGCTAAGGTTTGAGGGCTTTGGGGACAGGAGAGGATCCCCCGGGAAAGAGAGGATAGACAGAAAGAGAAGAAGGAAGAAGGAAGCCACGCTGGGTTATCATAAAAAGGAGCACATGGTCAGCATGGATGGAGGAATTGGCCCAGATGAAGAATATAAGCAAGTATTTGGGGACTGTGGATGGGAGGTCACCCAGATAGGAATGGTTAAAGTGGTTAGTATGGGATACCGTCTGGGTGATATGAGATTATGTAGGTGGAATTATCTGCCCAGCCCAAGGTGAAATAAGGCAAATCTAAAAATCTAACAAGTGTCTATGTCCTTTATTGATTATAACAGTGGGTTAGATAATACCACCATAATTATAGTTTATTAATAAACATTAGCCATACATTAAATTAAGAGCAACAGTTCCTTTAGGGTAGGTGGATGCCTCGCTCTAATAATTTTCTTTAATGACTGTTGAGTGTCAGTTTCTGAGGATTTTTCCATGGCTAGAGATTTAGTAAGTGGTAGAGCTAGAATCCAATCTTAGAGCTTGCTCAACTCAAAATCTGTGCTCCTCCTAATGGGCCCCTCTGTCATCATGCTTCCTGTACTGCACATCCAGAGCATCTAATCATAGCTGCTTTTAATTTTTCTCTAAGTGTTCTCTAAGAGGAGAAGCAGGTACGTTGTAAAGTGGACTTTCAATTAGAATAACAACTTTATTTCAGAGGGTATTCATATATGCCACGCACAGAAACAACCTTTTAAGAAACCGGATCTTGAAAGCAGGCACAATTCTTCTTGCATAGCTAGTGTCTTTTCTTTTTCCAGTCTTAAATTTTAAAGTGATGTAAAAATAAGTCTCATCTATTTCCTATTTGAATTCCACTAAGAGCAACTGCCACTCTTTACTGTCTACATGCCACACCTTTTATACCTATAGGGTTGGGATGGCAGCAGAACCCCCACTTGGACTTCATAGGAATAATTCCAGGTGGAAATTTGATTTGTGATCCTGGCCATCAGCCAAGTATATATGGGAATATTTTTGTAAGAGTAATCAGCTCACAGTATTCTCCTCCCATTGCAGCTTGCTGAAGGGCTCTTACAGGACCAAGGCTAACAAACATGGCATTGACAGATTCTGCCCTTCACCTTTCCTTCTTCTTCCTGTGAAACCATTAGATTACGTTCCTAGAGCTAGCACCAAGTTCTATTCCCTTATTTGGCCATCTCCTCCTTCTGAGGCTGACTACCAAGGTCTAGCTTTTAAAGTACTGAAATCCAAGTAGATGGCTGGAAATAATCAAACTCAGGGCTGAAACCAATACATTAGAAACAAAGAGAACAATTCAAAGAATCAACAAAACCAAGAGCTGGTTCTTTGAGAAAATCAACAAGATAGACAAACTCTGAGCCAAACTAACTAAAAGGCAGAGGGCCACTGTCCAATTCAACAAAATCAGAAATGAAAAGGGGGACATAACAACAGACACTGAAAAAAAAAATCCAAGGAATTATTAGGTCCTACTTCAAAAGCCTATATCCAACATTTTAAAAATGTAATGAAATGGACAATTTTCTTGATAAATTCCATTTACCAAAACTGAATCAAGATCAGGTAAATAAATTAAATAGTTCCATATCCCCTAAGGAAATAGAAGCTGTCATCAAAAGTCTCCCATCCAAAAAAAGCCCAGGGCCAGATGATTTCGGCACAGAATTCTACCAGACCTTCAAAGAAGAGCTAACACAAATACTCTTCAAACTATTCCACAAAATAGAAACAGAAGGAACATTACCAATCTCATTCTATGAGGTCACAGTCACGTTGATACCTAAACCACACAAAGACCCTATAATGAAAGAGAACTTCAGACCAATCTTGCTTATGAACATTGATGCAAAAATACTCAATAAAATACTTGCAAACCAAATCTAAGAACACATTAAAGATATCATCTACCATGACCAAGTAGGCTTTATCCCTGGCATACAGGGGTGGTTCAACATACAAAAATCCACGAATGTAATCTACCATGTAAACAACTGAAAGAAAAGACCACATGATAATCTCCTTAGATGTAAGCCTATAGCCAACATGAAACTAAATGGAGAGAAACTGAAGTCAATCCCACCAAAATCAGGAACAAGACAAGGCTGCTCACCCTCTCCTTATCTCTTCAACATAGTTCTTAAAGTCCTAGCTAGAGCAATAAGACAACTAAAGGAGATCAAGGGAATACAATTTGGGAAGGAAGAAGTCAAAGTATCGCTATTTGCAGATGATATGATAGTATACCTGAGTGACACACACACAAAAAAATCCTACCAGTGAACTCCTTCGGCTTATAAACACCTTCAGCAAAGTAGCTGGATACAAAATTAACTAAAAAAAATAAATAAATAAATAAGTAGCCCTCCTATATTCAAAAGACAAATGTGCTGAGAAAGAAATTAGGGAAACAACACCCTTCACAATAGCCACTAATAACGTAAAGTACCTTGGTGTAACTCTAACCAAGCAAGTGAAAGACCTATATGAAAAAGGCTTCAAGTCTCTGAAAAAATAAATTGAAGATATCAGAAGATGTAGAGCTATCCCATGCTCATGGATTGATAGGATTAACATAGTGAAAATGGCCATCTTAGCAAAAGCAATCTACAGATTCAGTGCAATTCCCATCAAAATTCCCAACACAATTCTTTACAGACCTTGAAAGAACAATTCTCAACTTCATATGGAAAACAAACAAACAAACAAAAAAATCCAGAATTGCTATAACGATCCTGCACAATAAAATATCTTCTGGAGTTACCTCCATCCCTGATCTCAAGCTGTAATATAGGACAACAGTAATAAAAACGGCATGACACTGGCATAGAAACAGAATGGTGGATCAATGGAATTAAATCAAAGACCCAGAAATAAAACCCACACACCCAGGAAAACTTAATTTTTGACAAAAAAAGCCAAAATCATACAATGGAAAAAGACAGCATTTTCAACAAATGGTGCTGGTCTAACTGGATGTATACATGTAGAGAAATGCAAACAGACCCATATTTATCACCCTGCACAAAGTTAAAGTCCACATGGATCAAAGACCTCAACATAAAAACAGACACACTAAATCTGTTAGAAGAAAAAGTGGAGAAGAGCCTTGACCTCACTGGCACAGGAGACAACTTTCTAAACAGAACACCAACAGCACAGACTCTAAGATGAGCAATCAATGAGTGGGACCTCATGAAACTGAAAAGCTTCTGTAAAGCAAAGGCTATCAAAAGAAAACGACAGCCTACAGTCTGGGAAAGGATCTTCAACAACCCTATTTATATCTGACAGAGGGCTAATATCCAGAATATATAAAGAACTCAAGAAGTTAAACACCAAAAAATCAAGTAATCCCATTAAAAAAAAAATGGAGCACAGAGCTAAGCAGAATTCTTAACAGAGGAATATTGATGGCAGAGAAACACTTAAAGAAATGCTCAACATCCTTAGTCATCAGGCAACTGCAAA